CAAAATATCGTATATAGGGTGGTACCGTTATATCGGAGCTGTGCGAAGACCTGGGCCAGCATAGACAATTTTCTGTCATAGGCTGTAGCATCCATTACGAACTTCAAATACGACATTTCAAACAATTTCGGTGAGTGTTGTACCTAAACTCGTCAAAATACCGAATATAGGGAGGTACTGGTATTTGGGGCCTATACGAAGACCTGGACCTGCATAGACAATTTTCTGTCACAGACTGTAGTTCCCATTACGAACACCAGATGCGTAATTTGAAAAAATTCCGGTGAATAATGACGCTAAAATCACTAAAATACCGAATATAGGGAGGTACTATTATATGGGGGCTATACGAAGACGTGGACCTACACAGACAATTTTCTGTCATAGGCTGTATTATCCATTTCGAACTTCAAATACAAAATTTGAAACAATTCCGGTAAATAATGTCGCTAAAATCATGAAAATAGGGAATATCGGGAGGTACCGTTATATGGCTGCTATACGAAGACGTAGACCTGCATATGAAATTTTTTGCCATAGGATCTTCCAGTACGAAATTTGAAACGATTCCGGTGAGTGGTGTTGCTGAAATCATCATAATACCGTATATCAGGATTTACCGTTGTATGGGGGCTATACGAAGACGTGGACCTTCATATAAAAATTTTCGTCATAAGCTGTAGTACCCATTACGAAATTCAAATACGAAATTTGAAATAATTCAAAATTATGAAAATACCGAATATCGGGAGGTACCGTTTTATGGGAGCTTTACGAAAACGTGGATCGAAATGGCCCGTTTACGAACTTAACCGGCCTACTAGAAAATATACATGCGTTCAAAATTTTAGTCTTCTATCTCAATTCGTTCGAAAGATAGCGTGATTAAAACAGACTGACGGACATCGTCATATATATGCTTTGTGGGGTCCATTATAAATATTTTGAGGAGTTACAAACGGAATGACAAAGTTAATATGCCCTCCATAAAAAGAAACGCTTGTACTATTGTATAAATACATATATTACATAACTATAACATTAATATCAGGTATAACATAGAAGAATACATGTAGATGCCATAATGCTTGGGAACATTTATCGGTCAAGAAATTATATTTTTTTTTTTTCAAAAATACGTAGATTTATGTGTGTTTTATTATACGATGCTAATCATAGGTTGTCCTGATATGCATTTTTCAAAAAAAAAAATTCATTCATTGACATTTCATTGTCCCTGCAGCTGCGTCGATTCGGCTACCTGCATTCTTCTACCATGATTAATGTAGTAAAATGTTGTTATCAGAAGGAATGGGTTTTTCATATGTGTTATCACTTGTATTATCCATGTGTATTTCAGTATGTATGTCAAAATTGTCATTTTTATAATAATGTAATAATCGGCCATAAACAATGAAATCGCACTTTATTTATATTTTTAACAGCCTGGGAACACAACGAATTTTATTTGAATTTCTTCCGACATTACCTTGGTTGCGGCGCATGATTTTGGGACATAACTATTTGACAAAAGTGTTCTCAGCAGACCGCCTGGTGGTTGGTGTCTTTGCTTTAGCACAGACACAGCTTAAAACAGGAAATCTTTTTAGTTCCTCCTCTTACCAGATAGATGTCTCTGAGAAAATTTTAGTAATTATTTATCCGCCATTTGTGAATAAAAAATTAATCAATCAGTGCTATTCTCGAGCATAGAATTTTACACCGATTTTTCTGTCTTTCCGTCTATGGGAATCAATAGTTTTTTTTTCAAACTAATTGAGCTACGTGTATGAAATTTTGTCCAAATGGAATTTACGTCTCTTGCTTTTGCCTTTTCATTTTGACATTTATTTATTAATTCATTTCGTTACAAACTGTACTCAAATAACTAAAGAGAACTTTAAATAATAGTTAATATTCTTGGTACTCAGTGGCACACATGAACCTACCACATTTACATTAGTGTTTCACTTAGGCGTCAACAAAGAATCATTTTTAAATTGTATTCATAATTTTTTATGACCAAAAAAATTAAAAAAAAAAGAATTCTTGTATGAAAAGATTTATTGAAAATCGCAGTACTTAAGGTATTTTTGGTGTTTTAGCCACATTTTTGATGCAACTTAACGTTTTTCTCACGTTTTAAAAACTTTTTCAATTTGGCTTAGCCTTCATCAGCGGTACACCCTGTTTTCAGTCATTCTGTTTGAGTTATCTCGGAATTTCGTGGAATAAAAATTCGCATAACAAATCGGTAAGGAAAAGTCAAAAGTCGGGCGGGACCGACAATATGATACTCTACACCACTATCCATATTAGTAGAGCTCCTGTAACAAAAGAATTTATTTGAAGTAGGTCATACCACCTATCAGAATTTGGCTTTAGAGCAGTTATAGATTGATTTCAGAGGGAACTAATATATGGAATGCATATCCAATTGAATGAATCGATTTTCACTTACATTTTACGGAGACATTTTTAACTTTTATGATATCACTTCGATATCCCTATATTAAAAAATATATATCGGAACCGAGTTCCACTAAATGGAAACGTAGGTCCCGAAATTCACTCCGTTTTGGCTGATATTATCCATAATTTGCACAATAAACCTGAAATCGAATTAAGACTGCTGTCATTTCTAAGCCACTTGTCCGACAGCTGTTAAAATTATTCCAGTGACAGCTCATTATATTATTTACAAGCGTACAAAACCATTTTGGTGATAATATTCCAGAAAAAAAGTTATTCGTAATGGAATTCAAGCGTGATAGTGTGATTTGTTTATATTTGGCTGGAAAACCACAAGTGGCTATCGTTAGAGCACTCCAGCATTTAAATGCGAATAAATCTTTTGTGTCTCATACCATCGGTCGTTACCGTGATGCTGGTAGCATAGTCCGACGTCAAGGAAGTGGACGGAGGAAAACAGCAACAGCAACATCAGCAGAAATGGTTCGAAAAGTAAAAAAGCAACTTGATCGAAACCCGCGTCGCAGTGGCCGAAAAATGGCTCGTGAGCTGAACAATATTCCATTCCGCAATATTTGGAAAAAGAGCTCGGGGTAAAGTCATTGAAATTCCAAAAAGTGCAAGAACTTACACCGCAACAAAAAGAAAATAGGCTCAAAAGAGCTAAAGAGTTGCTTCGCTTGTCCGAAAGTGGTGAACTGCCGAATACGTTGGGCACGCAAACATTTTAGCCGCAGACCTTGGACATTTCAACAGGACTCAGCACCATCGCACTCATCGCGCCACCAAGAATGGCTAAAAAATGAGTTTCCTCGCTTCCTTCCAGCGCACAATGGTCACCAAAATCTCCGAATACCAATCCGTTGGACTATTGTGTCTGGAGTATTTTGGAAATCAAGGTTGGCATTAAAAAATACCAAAGTGTCGATCACCTCAAGCAAGCGCTTCGTCGGGAATCGGCCGAAATACCGCAGAGCAACATTCGGGCAGCATGTGACGGTTTCATTGGCATTTTGAAGGCCATAATTCGTGCCAAAGGTAACCAATTCGAATAAATCTAAACTTATTCCAAAATTTGATGCTATTTCCGACATTTTTTTCTATCATTCAATATTTTTTTTTATAACAAATCCAGGCATTTCATTCATTTTTCGCTATATTTAACCCATTCCAAAAAATGAGGAAAAATATGAAAAAAATGTAAACAACTTTTTATATATAATTTTGAATGAATATGACAGGAAGCGGGCATTGCCTCAGGGCTGTATTTCTGTAGTTTTACGAAGCTGTTCTATCTCCTTATTGTACCATGGGCATTGACTTTGTTGCAGTTTTTTTATCTCAGCCTGCATATGGGAGCAATATGCCAATTTTAGCCGATCTCGATAAAATGTGGCAAATGTAATTCCGAACCTATAAGATATCTGGTACCAAATATCATTGATTTCGAATTCATATTACGAATGTGAGGCACTTAAACACCAAATCGGATGAAACATATATATGGGAAAACTGATGTTCTAGCTTCTAGGCTGAATTCGGTTGGATGTGCCAAAGCTGAGGCCATTTGGACTGATATTGGACGTTTGGTGCACAATTAACCCGAATTCTGTTGAAGATATATATGGGAGCTATATCCAAATCTGAACCGATCTTAAAACAATTTGGTAGATGTATTTCTGGGATGTATCTGATATCTGGTACCAAATATCATTGCTGTCGAATGCATATTATGCATGTGAGGGACTTTAGCACCAAATCGGATGAAGCATATATATAGGAGCTATAAATTTGACGTACTTGCTTCTAGACTGAATTCGGTTGGTTGTGCTCAAATGCAGGTCATTTGCGCTTTTATTGACCATTTGGTGACCAATTAACCCGAAATCGGTTGAAGATATATTGGAGCTATGTCTAAATCTTATTATATTATAGTATTTTGTATAAGCTCGCTTGAAGTACGGCGTTTCTAATATTTATGAATTCCTAGCGTTAAGGTAAGGAAATAGAAAGTATTATGAGACCTATTATATAATTATTTTATGACGAATAATTTTGTAGAACATTTTTATTTGTTACTGGCTGGCTTTTTTGAGTTACACTGTGTAATTAACGCAGCTTATAAGACCTGGTGATACGAAGGCTATGTCTGTCAAACGTTGGAAATCGGTACCTTTTTCGTGCACCTCCTAGGTCCATCCTTATGACATTCCAGGCTTACTAAATGACTTCACTACTAACGGAATGGCAGTGGCATCATTAATCTATCATCTTTAGCCAACAATTCTTGAGGAGGCAACGAAGGGTGAGGAAAAGCTAAAACAAACAAAAACAACCACGAACCAACAATCTATCAAATTATTATACATTGTGGGATTTGGGTGCAAGACTTGGCCAATTTTATACTTCATAGGTTATTATTAGTCTCTACTGCAAATTACCGTTTTCTTGTGGAACCTAATTATTTCCTGGCCAAAGTTTATTATTTGTCATTAGTTTTAAAATAAAAATTATTCAAATACAAAATTCGGAAGTTGTTATCCCAATCATTTTAAATATAACCGACTATAACTAAAATTAGATGTCTATTTCTCAATGATTTATAGGAAACTATCTTTGATGTAAATGTTGTATGAGAGACACTTCCTGTTAAAAAGGTATGTCTCTATGTGTGCACCTACATAAGTCACGTAGAAATTTAGAAACAATTTACAGGAAAATTAAAATTTGAAAATGACAATAATTTTGGTAACGTTTTTTCTTCTCTTTTTAAAATTTAAAAATTATTTTACGATTGCAATGGTAAAGATGAAGAAACGGAGTATTTGTTCAAAAGAAGGAAGGAGAAATGACCATTAAATGACATTCAAAGTTGGCAAATAAATTTGAAAATTATATGTTGCAAGTCCCGAAATAAGTATGTGTACATGCATATGAGTCATTTTACATGAAGTTGTCTTATTTGTTACTATAAGTTATAATACCAAGATACATATGTATTCGAAACGATTTACAAATGGCTCCGCAAAAACTTAGAGGCTACAGTAGTTAAGAAAAAAATTTAAAGACTTAAAAAAATCATCAAAATGTTAAATATTGCAGGTACTATATACTAACGAAAAGGAGAACGTGGGCCTGGCGCGACCATTTCATCGATATTTAAAATTGAAGCATAATGAGAATGAAAATAAATACCGTGTCCTACAAAATCAAGTGCAGGAACTCAAGTCCGAATTGGTGGCTGCTGAGGAAAGAACATATACAGAATGTAACCAAGCAAACTACACCTTAAAGTCTTTGGAGGAGGAGACGGCACAAAATACCAACAAAGAAGAAAGAATTGGAAAAGAAGACGCCATTACTTAAGTTGAAGTACTTGGTGAAGAAACAGTATCAAGTCCCGAAGACTTGAAGGGATTACTGTCAACCACTGAAGAATAAAATTTACAAGAGAAGCAATATGTCATACTCATGTTGAAACGGAAAAGACAGAAGTCAAGAATCAGCTGAACGCCAACAAGATGAAGACGAAAAGGGATGGGCATATACGATGCGGGAATAAGAAGATGCCGAAGGAAGCTCAAGTTTTCAGGAAGATAAAGATGCTTAGTGAAAGTGGTGCAGCTTGAAAAGCATAGGCTGGGGTGGCGGGAAATTATGAAAGCTTGCAACGCTGACAGTACTATCTTACACTCCTTGGACAGCGAGTGTAAGATTGTGCGGCCAGAGTAAGATCAGATCATTGGCTGCAGAATAAAGACGACGCATGAAGAAGAGAGATTTTTGTTAAACAGGGATCAATTTTAATATAGTCCATTTTAAACAAGTAAAAAAGCAGTAAGATCGGCCGGTCCGAACTTTGAATACACTTCACCATTTGGAAATTAAAAAAAAAAAAAATACGTGGAAAAATACTATTAAAAATCATAAAAATTCCGATTATTAGGGATTTACCATTATATTGGGGTCTATACAAAGACGCGGACCTACATAGGCAGTTGTGTCCATTACGAACTTCAAATACAAAATTTGAAACAATTTCGATGAATAAATCCGCTAAAATCATAAAAATACCGAGTTTTGAAAGGCCTGCATACGAAATTTGAAACGATTCCGGTGAATAATGTTGCTGAAATCATCAAAATACCGAATATGGGGAGGTACCGTTATATTGAACCTATACGAAGACGTCGACCTGCATATACAAATTTTTGTCAGGCTGTAGTACCCATTACGAACTTCAAACACGAAATTTTAAATAATTCCGGTTAATAATGTCGCTAAAAATAATGAAAATACTGAATATCGGGTGGTACCGTTATATGGGGGCTGTACGAAAACGTGAACCCACAAGTCAAATTTCTGTTATAGCTTGCAGTACCCATTAGGAACTTCAAATACGAAATTTTAAAAAATTCCAGAGATTAATCTCGCCACAATCATTAAAATACCGAATATATGGATTTACCATTACACGAGGGCTACGTCAAAATGTGGGCCTAGATAGCCCATTTTCAATAACACATCTGAGAAAAATTTTATCAATCTACTTTAATTCGTTCGGAAGCTAGAGTGATTTCCACAGACGGACAGAGAGACGGATTTGAAGTTTCGTAATGGTTACTACAGTGACAGAAAACTGCCTATGCAGGTCCACATCTTCGGTATTTTTATGATTTTTAACAGTATTTTTCGAATTATTTTTCTTTAAATTTCCAAATTCCTTCCGAATTGTGGAGGGTACTCAAAGTTCGGTCGAGCTGAATTTTCGAATTGAGATAGAAGGCTAAAATTTTGCAATATGCATGGTATGCCAGTAGGCAGGTTAAGTTCGTAAATGGGCCATGTCGGCCCCCATACAACGGAATATTTACCAGAATTATTTCGAATTTGAAGTTCGTAATGGGTACTACAGCCTATGACAAAAATTTTCATATGTAGATCCACGTCTTCGTATAGCCCCCATGTAACGGCACCTCCCGATATTCGGTATTTTGATAATTTCAGCAACATTATTCACCCGAATCGTTTTAAATTTCGCATTGAAAGATCTTAATGGAAAGATCTTATGCAGGTTCACGTCTTCCCCCTTATATGATGGTACCTCCCGATACTCCGTACTTTCATGAGTTTTGCGATATTATTCACAATAATTTAACAAGTTTCGTGTTTGAAGTTCGTAATGGGCACTACAGCCTATGACAAAAAATTTCGTAGGCAGGCCCACGTCTTCGTATAGTCCCTATATAAGGGTTTTAATTTAAGTGGTAGTTTTCGTATTTTTTTTTTTTTTTTTTTGAAAAATTTCAAGTACCTTCGAAATGGTGGAAGGTATTAAAGCTGTTTTTTACTCATTTTACTTGTTTTATATAGTGAGGCATCGTTACATGGGGGCTATGCGAAACTTGATCTGCCTACTGATAAAATTCACATATTTTAGCTTTCTATCTTAATTCATTCGTGATTACAAAAGACTAACACCAGACAGAAAGGCAAACGGGTCATTTGGTACACAATACACCTGAAATCGGATAAAGATATATATGGGAGATATATCCAAATCTGAACCGATCTTGACAAAATTTTAGGCACGTATTTCTGAGCTGTATCACATATCTGGTAACCAAGATCATTGTTGTGGAGTGCATATTACGAAGGTGAGGGACTTAAAACACACATATCGGATGAAACATATATATGAGAGCTATAGCTATACCGATTTTCACCAAATTTGAAGTACCTATTTTTTAGGATAAATTCAATCGGAATTGCCAAAATTCAGTTCATTTGAACTGATATTAGCCATTTGGTGCACAATAAACTATATATCGGATAAAGATATCTATGAGAGCTATATCCCAATCTGATCCGATCTCGATAAAATTTGTTAGAGATATTTGTGGGTTGTATCTGATATCTTGTACGAAATACCGTTCTTGTGTAGTGCATATTACGCATGTTAGGGACTTAAACACCAAATCAGGTGAAGCATATTAATGGGAGCTATAGCTATATCTGAACTGACTTTCACCAAATTTGTTGTACTTGATTCTAGACTGAATTTGGTCGAATGTGCCTAAATTCATGTCATATGTACTGAAATCTGTTAAAGACTCTCTCAAATTTCAATAGGGTTCGTCCTTGGGCTAAACAAATGATATGTGGAAAGTTTCATCCCAATAGAACAATACAGGGTTGCCCATATTCGACGGACCCATCTGGCAACGCCATAACTTTTGACAGAGATGTCACATCGCTTACCATTTTTACCATGAATCAATGAATGAAATTTACAAGAAGTCAATTGTGAAAACTCAACGTGCTTTAAAAACATTAAAAAATGTAAGAAGTGCGCCTTCTAAGAACACCATTAAGCGTTTATACGAAAAATTTTCGGTAAGGCTCTTTCTAATCCAAAGAGGCCATATAAAAGTCGACCAAGGCGATCGGCCGAGAATATCGCTGCCGTACGAGCCAGTGTTGAGAGGTTCCCAAGAACATCCCAAAAACGCCGTTCTCAGCAGTTGGGCATGGCTCGGTCCACTTTACAATGGATTTGATTTGCATTTGTTCCCGTACAAAACTCAATTGACGCAAAGAATGCGGACAAGCCTCGTCGATTGGAATGGGCCCAAAGGTCCGTCGAATATGGCAACCCTGTAAGTGATAATGTGACCAGATTTAAATATAGCTCTCATATATATCTTCGACCGATTTCAAGTTTATTGGGCGCCAAATATGCTAAGTTTGTTCTGTTAGGTTTAATTTTAGATCATACGATCAAGTTCCGATAAGAACAATGTCAGACTAGTTGGCCCCAAATTGTTTCATATATAGCTTTAGATTTCAATATAGCTCTCACATACTTTAATCCATTTTCATTTTCGTACACTAATGCTTCATTTCTTACTGTGCATCATACTTAAAATATTCTTTACAGCCAAATGCATTTGTTGTTACATTAGTTGTATAACTTGGCTAATACATGAAATTACTTTGTCCTTTTTTCTCTTTGGACAAAAAGTCCATCTTTTCCTTCCGAAAACTTTGTAATCAAGTTGAAAATTACCAAGAGTTTGGAGTACCGCAGAAAACGTGATGTCTGATATCTACAATGAAATGACTAAGTCTATGGCCGACCGATAATACATATGTTATGTACATACATATGTACTCACACTGAATATTTAGGATTGCAAGGGAGGCAGTTTGAAATCGGACTTACCGAGCCGAAGAGGCTACTAAGAAAAAAAAAAAAAAAATAAAAACAATTTTTGATGTCTGCAAAACTTGGCAGAAATTTGTTTGTTGATTTCTTTTCTATTCAAATATTTGCTAATGACAAAAAAATGTCTCATCTCCTTTAGCCGGCGACTTCGAGATTAAACATATTAGCCATATGCCATACATACGACTTCCTTGTGACATATGACAACGGCTATTATCATCATCAACTATTTGACCAAAAAAGTTTTCATTGGCAAAGGAGAAAAAAAACTCAACTGAAATCCACAACACGTTTCACAAATTGTTGTACACATTGGAGAATGTACCGACCGACACCCAAGTCATCCAAAGACATTCCTAAGTGGACTACTTCATTTTTTCTCATCATCATCATCATCTTCACCACCAGGATTCGATGGGATTTTTGGTGGCTTTTTCTCTTTAGTTTTCTTTCTTCGGCGGCATGATAAAATACTTTAAATTAATCTCCACCAATATGCATCAAGTGGCGGCGTCGGCATCCATTGCAATAATGCAGCGATAGCAATTTGCAGCAAGCAGTGCCGGAATAAGAGTCACAGTTGGATGAAACGTGTGGCAAGGACTTCGGGCAACCCCAAACAAGAAAAAAACCAAAAAAGCTCAATAATTTTTGTCTTTGTCTTGTTGAGTTGGAAAATCGAATGGTACAGCATCGGATGTGATATTCTCAACACGTCGCCGGCATTTGTGTGGCACACAGTGCAGCGAAACTTGAAATTTTGTTTTACGGCTAAAACAACTTTAGATGACTTTTATAGATATAAGACCTTTCGGACGTTTCCTTAAATAAAATATAGTAGAAATTATGTGTGGGATACGTTAATAGTATTCTACGACAATTTTGAGGCAATAAATGGCGGCTGTCACAATCCAATGGAAGGGAAATTTTCTCCATATAATGATTCGTGTCCGGAGGTCTGCGTTTGGGTTGAAATCTGTCAGCGCCTATTTCTGAAGATTAATGAAACAAATTTCATAGTAGTCTACTAATAGCATCCACAATTAGAAAGGACCATTTCAAATTTCAAAAAAAAGTTCCCGGTAGCTAAAATGTAGACCTGTATAGCCAATTATCTGTCAGAAATAGGCGTAATTATATAAAGACTATTACAAAACCTGGACCAATATGGACAGTTCTTTGAACAGGGTGAAAATTCGTTTTTAAATGGTGGTTTAAACACGCAAAACACACCATTTAATGGATGCTATACCAAAACAATAAAAAATTCTAACGAACCTAAAACACGTGAACAGACATACGAAATCAACCTGGAATGTTATGGAAGGCATAACAAGTAAAAAAGAGCAATGTTCGGATGGGCCTAACTTTTAATAGCCTCCACCATTTTGAAGGAACTTGTAAATTTTAAAATTAATTGCATAGAAAAATACCTCTCAAATGAAACCCTTTGTATGGGTCTTTACGAAGACGTAGTCCATCATAAAAAAACAATTCCATAGAATAATATCACTAAAATCATCAAAATACCGAATATCAGGAGATATCGTTATATGGGGGCTATAAGAAGACGTGAACCTTCATAGACAATGTCATAGGCTGTGGTACCTATTACAAATTTTAATACAAATACGAAACTTGAAACAATTCCGATAAAAAATGTCGC